AGAAACAGAGGGAGAACTCCCAAATTCCAGCATCATTCTAATACTCAAACCAGGTAAAGACACAATCGAAAAAGAAAACTATAGACCCATATCCTTAATGAACATAGATGCCAAAATTCTCAACAAAATACTTGGAAACTGCATACAGACATACATCAAAAAGTTCATTCACCATGATCAAGTAGGCTTTATTCCAGAGATTCAGGGGTGGTTCAGTATACACAAGTCAGTAAATGTCATAAATCATATAAACGGACCTAAAGACAAAAACCACATGGTCATCTCAGTATATGCAGAAAAGACCTTTGACTCAATTCAGCATTCATTCATCGTAAAAGTCCTAAAGAGAATTAGACTGGAGGGAACATACCACAACATAATTAAAGCTATATACAAGAAACCCACAGCCAACATCATCCAGAATGGAAAAAAACCTGGATGTGTTCCCATTAAAATCAGAATGCAGCAAGGATGTCCACTACCTTCATTCCTTTTTTTTAAAATATTTTTTTATTTTTATTATTTATTTATTTAAAAATATTTTCATTTTATGTGTATACGTGTATTGTCTGCATGTAGGTGAGTGCACCCATGTTGTGCAGTGCCAGCAGAGATCAGAAGAGGTAGTTGGATCCCCTGGAACTGGAGTTATGGACACTTGTTAGCTGCCATGTGGGTACTGGGATTCGAACCCGGGTCTTCTGCAAGAACAGCCAGTGTTCTTAACTGCTGAGCCATCTCTCCAGCCCCTATTATTATTTTTATTTTATGTGTATGAGTGTATTGCCTGCATGTATGTAAGTGCACCCATGTCATGCAATGCCATGGAGGTCAGACGAGGGCTTCAGATTCCCCTGGAACTGGATCTTGCTAGAGCAATAAAACAAGAGAAAGAAATTAAGGAATACTAATTAGAAAAGAGAAGAGATCAAATTACCCCTTTTTGCAGATCATATGATACTATGAATAAGAGATCCCCAAAATTCCACCAGAAAACTCCTAGAACTGATCACTTCTTAAGTGGCAGGTTGCAAAATTAATCTACAAAAATCAGTAGCCTTTTTATATACCAATAACAAGCAATCGGAGAAGGAGTACAGGGAAACACTATTATTCACAATAGCCTTAAAAAAAAACCCAAACCATCAGAATAAACCTGATCAAAGACATCAAAGATCTCTAATGAAAATTTTAAATTTTAAATATTTAAAGAAAGAGGACACCAGAAGATGGAAGGACCTCCCATGCTTATGGACGGGAAGAATTAATATTGTGAAAATGACCATCCTACCAAAAGCAATATATAGATTCAGTGCAATCCCAATAGAAATCCCTATGACATACTTAACAGAATTAGAAAAAAAAAAAAATCTTTAAATTCATTTGGAAGCACAAAAGACCTGGGATAACCAGAGCAACTTGTGATAGCTAGAGCAACCCTGAGCAGAAAGAGCAATGCTGGGGGGATTACTATACCAGATCTCAAAGTATATTACAGAGCTATAGTCTTAAAAACAGCACGGTACTGCACAAAAATAGACACATAGATCAATGAGACATCATTGAAGACTCAAACCTAGGTACACACAATTTCAGTCACCTGATATTTGACAGAGTTGCCAAGAACACAGTAGAGGAAAGTCAGCATCTTCAACAAATGGTACTGGCAAAACTGGATCTCCAACTGTAGATGAAACTAGATCCTTTCACCTTGCACAAAAGTCAACTCCAAATGGATCAGAGACCTCAATATGAAACTGGAAACTCTGAAAGTTAGGAAACATTGGCAGTAACCCACAAGATACAGGTATAGGAAAGGACTTTCTAAATCAGACATCAGTTGCTCAGAAATTAAGTTTAACAGTCAACCAGTGGGACCTCATTAAACTAAAAAAGTTTCTGTATGGCAAAAGAAAGTGAAGAGAAACCCACAGAGTGGGAGAAAATCTTCACCAGAGACACTTCTGACAGAGGTTTAACATCCAGAGTATATAAAGAACTCAAACAGTCAGGAAAACAAATGACCCAATTAAAAGACGGGCTAAAGATGTAAACCGACGGTCTCAAAGGAAGAAGTAAAGATGGCTAAGAAGCATCTTTAAAAGTGTTCAACATTGTGGGCCGGAGAGATGGCTCAGCAGTTAAGAACACGAGTTATTCTTGCAGAAGACCTGGGTTTGAATCCCAGCACCCACGTGGCAGCTAACAGCTGTCCATAGCTCCAGTCCCAAGGGATCTGACAGCCTCTTCTGACCTCCGCAGGCATTGCACGACATGGGTGCACTTACCTACATGCAGGCAATGCACACAGACACAGAAAAAAAAAAGTAAAAAAAGTGTTCAACATCATTAGTAATTAGGAAAATGCAAATTAAAACCATGTTAAGATTTCATCTTACCCCCGTCAGACTGGCTAAGATCAAGAGAACAAATGATACCAAATGCTGGCGAGGATGTGGAGAAAGGGGAACACTCACCAACTGCTGGTAGAATTGCAAACTCGTGCAACCCCTATGGAGAGCAGTGTGGAGAACTCTTAAAAAAAAAAAAGCAAAAATGAATCGACCATATGACCAGTACCGCTCCTTGGCATATACCCAAAGGACTCATCCTATTGCAGAGATACTTGTACAGAGGGCCAGGAACACAAATGGCCAAACACAGAGAATAAGAGCCTACAGGGTGCGGGACCTTGGACAGGACTCCTATATTGAGGTCCACCCACCCATCCAGGGCTCAGGTACCATTGCGGAAGAGGGTGTGGAAAGATTGTAAGAGTCGGGGAGGAGGTGCATGACTATACAGAAATGGTCCTAAGGTGCCTGGGACCCTTCTACAGACCTACAGCAGTGGTGTCAGCATGCTCAAAAACCCAGCACAGAACTGTGAAAATGAACAAGCCCCGACCTTAGTGGAAGAATTATTGGCAGCTGGGTGAGAAAGAGCTGATCTTCTTGAAGGGAGAGACTCTAAATAGGTTGACTAAACCCCAGTGAATGAACTTGTACTGAGGGACATCTGGGGACACTAACTTTAATAATAGTCCTTACTACAAATGACAATGTGTGAACTTCATTGTGGGGGGCTATGGGAGGGTGCCAAAGGAGAAATACATAAAAATTCAATAAAAAATTAAAATTAAAAAACAAAAACACTACTATGTCAAGTGTAGTGGGGCATACTTTTAATCCCAGCACTTTTCAAGGCAGAGGCAGAGGAAGGCAGATCTCTGTGAATTTGAGGCCAGTCTGGTGTACATAGCAGGTTCTAGGCTAGATGGGCTACCTAGTAAGACTCTATCTCAAAATAAAAATCTGCCACCCATCCCCTCCCTGAAAAAGAAAGAGAGACACTATCACAATGATTGTGGCTTTGACTTAAAGCGCTCCCCTATAAATGCCATTGGGCATTGCTGTGTTAGGGAATGTAGTGGTAGGTTTTTCCTTAATCACTACTTTTCTGTTTGCATGTAGTGGTGTAAAGTTTATTATTTTCCTACTACATGCCGGTTACAATGATTGTGAGTAGGTCAGTAAAGTAGATCAACCAGAGAAGCAAGTCCTGGTTACAGCTCACCTCTTCGCTCCTTTGCTCCTATAGGCCAGGCTTGCTCTTGGGAGGGGAAGGAGGAGGCGCTGTCTCATTCATTTCAGGCTTCTAAAATGAGAGTTTGTAACTGTGTGCTTTTAAAATGCTTTTTTTCTCTCTACTTCATGTGAAGTTAAGTATCAATAGTCAGATTCATAAAAATTATCATTCCTAATTGGTGGATAATATTCAGTTTTCTGAGTAAGCCAGGTTGTCAGCCGTACATGGTCGCTCTTCTCCTGCTTCTGAGCATCGTAAAACCAGTGCTGTTCGTTCCCTTGGCTTGGGGTGCTGGAAGTGTCTGGTCTGTAAAGACTTCTTTGCATCTGAAGACTGCTGCTGCCTCTGATCACAGGGCCCCTGATCACACTTCTTCCAGGAGGATCACAGCTCCAGTCAGCCAGTGTTGGGCATGCCCACTTGGAGGCTGTGTTCATATTTCCAAGTGCTCTGAGAAAAGACTGATAAAGGACATGCAGAAGCTCAGAGGTTTTGATGCTTATGAAGATGGCAGCCTTTGGGAAAGTTTCCCTTTAGAAGGCACATGATTTTAGAAGGTGTCGCTAATCTCCGTAGAAATAGACTGAAGATGCCTCTAGGTGGTCTGTGCTGTAGCTCAGCGTATTGTTTGGAAGGCTGTGACCCATCAGTTATGATGGAATAATCTGAGTTTTTACTTTGTTTTGATTTAGAACAGAAAATGACAGCTTGAATCATGCCTAGTGTTGTCTCCTGAGTATTCTGCTTTAGGGATGCATGTGTGGACATAGCTACATACATGGATGCATTTGGAGATTGTGATTAACAAGTGCTTCTGCTTCAAGTCCATGGTCGGCAGAATATGAAACATTAAGTGGTTCCTGACACGTTGAGTTCCCCCACCACCATATTGTCCTTTATAAATTATTTAAAAAATTTTTTCTGATTAATATTCTCTTTAGAAAGGAATAAAATTATTTTTCATACTTTTTCACAGTGACAATTGAAGACTGTAGAGGAGTGCCTGATGTCATAAAAGATTATGCTGAAGTCTGATGTCATGCATTTTTGGTGTTTGTAGACTCTTTAATATCCTCTTCAGTAACAGCGGTTCTTGGGCCAGTCTCCTTTTGAGTCCCCCTCTGTCACTTAACAGCTAATTCTTTGAACTAAGCACAGCTTTCTTGACCCTTAGTTCTGTTATTTGTGAAATTGGAATAATAATTACTCTTAGGGCTGCTGTGAGGTGTCATTGAATGTGGGGCCTGGTTTGTAGAACCCAAAACAACTTACGGTTCAGTTTCTGATGATTATATGAGAAGCAGCCATGTGTGGAGAGGTGGAGTGTGCACGGGTATGTGGTCTGTGACTGGGCAGACACACAACCGTGTGTCATGTCCAACCAGAGTAACCCGTTCTTCTTTCTTCTTCAGGGTTTCCTGGTCTTGAACTACTGGCTACATGGCTACCACATGCCTAAGGGAGTTCGTTCATAGCTGAGTTCTGGGGCTGGACTTGGTTCTAGACGCTGGGTAGATGCAAAGCAGCCTCACTCTTCAAGCTCCGACATTTCTCACTGCTGGCCCGGCTCTACTTGGAGAAGGGCACCTTAGCTCACCACTTCAAGTAGAACGAAGCTCATTCCCTCCCTGTCAGTGCAAACCCTAATGCTTCAAATGCACATTGTTCATACAAAAGGAACACATGCTGTCTGTCCTGCAGAAGCAATCGACCGTCAAGAGAAGACTTGGCCTCTAATTTATATTGCTTTGCACTTTGGTCTGATACTAAAAACAGCATTCTTCAGTGAAACGTTGGGTGCCAAACACCTACCCAGAGTGTCCAGGGCTTTCCTTCAAAAGCCAGCATCCCCTTTAGACCTTCTCAGACACTATTGAGTTCTGCCTGTGTTAGGAATGTGTGGGACAATGGGAAAATCTCCCGGATTGTTTTAATATTTTTGGATTACACTTTCTGTACTGGTTTCTTTTAATTTAAAGAATAAGCCAGTTATATTATCTTTCCACAGGTAATATAGCTATTTTCTTTTATTAATTGTTCTCTGTTCCCCCACCATTCCTCAATATTTGATAGAGTAACACCTTTATCCACGTGCTTGCCTCCTAATTTAAAATACTGTTTCCGCATGTAGATATAATGTACATAACAATTCAAGCTCAAGGTTGCCGGAACCGGGCCCCCTGTGTCTGAGACACTAATATGAGTGTGTTCGCACCTAGCCACAGGTGGGCCCAAGAACCTGACTCCAAGGTTGCTGTGATTACCTAGAAACCTGCAGTATTCATTCGGGGTTTTATTTTGTTGCTGTCATTGTGTGTATTGTGTGTATTTTTAATGGGAATCTTGTTTGAAGATGTAACCAGGAGTTTAACACGTTTTATTTGTTGTACAGCATTTGCAGTGGACAGGTACCTTCACAGTCTCTGCGTCGCTGATCTTTTCCTCATGAGTCCCGTCCCTGTCCCCTGTCTCCCCCAACACTTCCCCGAAAACTAATGGTCACCTCTTTTGGTGGTCATTGAGTTGTCTCTCCAAGCTGGATTTCTGTGTGGTAGAAATGCTGAAACAGGGCGAAGAAGGTCCTGTTGACGGGACTCCTTGACCCTGGGCTCCTGCGCTCTGGTGAGGTGTTGGGGGCTGCTGGTGAGTTGGAGCCTGCGGAGCTGGTCAGCTGTTCAGAGCTCACTCTGAGGGTCAGGCTCTCTCTCCTGTATGGAGCACAGCCTCAGGTCAGAATCCCATCCCTGTCAGCTCCAGTGTCACCCATTACTGTGGTTCTCAAAGCCCCCCATTGGGAGTGGTGCATGGACAGGATACTGGTTGGCACCAGATTCCCTCTTCCAATATTAGATTTTGATTTGTTTCCAAAGATCAAGGAATGTCAGTACCATTTAGAGGACCAAGCCCTCCCTGTGATGAAGCCTCTTCCCATGGAAGCATAGTCTACGACTAAAGAGGACTCGGCCCTGCCTGTCCTTGGCTTGAAACACCCTGGGATCAATGTGGGGGGGGGTGATCTGTTTACTGGGTTGGCTTTGCTTTTTACTTTTTATTTTTTTGATATATCCTTCTTACATGCTTCTAAATTCTGTTTCTGAGAGGTGGAGTCTCATAGTGTAAAGAAAGTAGAGTTCTGTCCATAAGGAGGGTGGGAACTTGACAGTGGTGGTGACTGTCCCTCAGCTTCGGCCACTCCACCTCACAGCTGATCACCCACCTGGCAGGAGCGCCCAGTGGAAGGGAGGGGCGGGAAGGAGGGGAATTCTGAACCATTGGATTTTTCTGTTGTTTTTGCATGTTTAATATAGAAATTCCTCTGGCTCCGTGGGAAATCATGGCCTTTGAATATGCACACAACCTTTGAATTGTGCCTACTGAATTATAGCAGGGGACTTTGGCACCTGAGGAGTTCCAACTCGTGGGGATTACAAAAGTAATTCTCCACGTACTCTGGACTTTATTTTGCTAACCATAATTGAGCAACTGTAAATTACTGCTATATTAATGTGTTAAAGCACTGGGATAGTGTAATTCTAACTTGTAATTAATTATGTTTGCCAATTATCTGTTTGAAATAAATTTGTGTCTGAACAGCTATTGGAACTGTTAAATTGTACAGATATTATTACGGCTTTGTACTGTGGAATGTGCTTAATAAAAAACAAGTTTGACCTTTGTCCAATAAATTGCTAAGTAATGTCAATAAATGAAGTATGAGTATTATGCAGTACACCTAACCTGGCTTTATGCAATTGTTACTTCAGCTACTAATTCAAAGCCAATACTCTTAATAAAGTGTTGCAATACTCTGCTGTTTGTTAAGTTTTTCAGAAAATCTATTATGTGCTCTCAGGAACTGGTGATATTCATTAAAAAAGATTGTGAGTTTTGAAAATGGCCTGTTCTAGCTGGGAGTGGTAGTGCACGCCTTTAATCTCAGCACTTGGGAGGCAGAGGCAGGTGGATCTCTGTGAGTTCTAGACCAGCTGGGGCTACAGGGAGACCCTGTCTTAAAAAGACCAAAAAGAAAAAAAAAGGAACATGGCCTGTTCTGTAAAGTGAAGTTGAAGGAAGTGTTTGGGGCTGTGAGGAGGCTGCAGGTTCCTCCACCTGGGCTTTCCTGGGAAGGCTGACTTTAGCCCCAGGAGTCCCTCCCTTGGAGCTTGTCCTAGTGCATCTGCTTCTCACTTGCGCTTGCTTACTTCACTAGTTCTGTAAAAATGGGAACATGGCCTCTGAAGTGTCCCAGGTGCTTTCAGGTGAAAGGCCGCTCATCTTTGAAAGGGCTCAGAGCCCGAGCTGCAGGTGCGGGAAGCAAGCTTGCCACCGACTGAACCCTAAAGCAGACCAGCTCCTGCCTGTGAGTCCCCAGGTTTCGAGCAGTAGCTGACATCTTAGGTATCTGGCTCTGCCCATCAGCCAAATTTGGTAACGGAGTTTTTTGGAGTATTTTGATGCAATTGTCGCCACCCATTTTTCTTGTAAAAGCTGTATTTAAATATACACATGGTTAAGAAAACCAATATACAAACTATAAAAGAAAACAAAAGTGATTCTGTCCCTGGCCCAGTATGTATGCTGGGTGCTGCCTGCTCTAAACTGACTGACACTATGCAGGGCTGTACTTCATGCAACCTACGTTTTCCTCTTCTAGACCATTCCCTTAGTATTCTGCTGTTTCTTGCATTTCCCTTCTTCACAGGTAGGTGTGTCTACCCCTGCTAAATACAGCAAACTGTCCCCCATGGTGGTTTGTGCTAATCCTTAGGATTAGCATTCTATCCTTAGGGATGGATGCAGTTCCAGCATGGCTTATGGGGAAAAGGCTGAATCCTCACTTCTCCCATCCCATCCCATCCCATCCCATCCCATCCCATCCCATCCCATCCCCGTCCCCGTCCCCGTCCCCGTCCCCGTCCCCGTCCCCAATCCAATCTTCTTCCATCACTGGTAACTACTCTTTCCTTCAAGGTGAATGTTGCAGGCATCCCTGTGCCAGGACTGCTCAGAGGCCTGTAGTATTCCTTGGCTGCCATTAGGCTAGAGGCTGCTGTGCCATTTCAGCCTATTTGTTGTCTAACAAGATTTGAACGGGTCTGTTTGATGATCCTCTTCCCAATTAGTTGTGCCTGGCAATCCCTGTTGGGATCTTCACTGCCCTATTTCACAGATTCATCAGGAGGGCACATACCCAGCTCTGATGCACAGCAGTAACACTGGCTCTTAAGTTTTCAAGAAAACATGGGAAACTAGATTATATAAACACCCAACTTAACAGAAGTTGACAATTTTTTTGGTTGTTTTGAGACAGGGTCTCCCTGTAGCCCCAGCTGGCCTGGAACTATGAAGACCAGGCAGGCCTCGAGCTCATAGAGATCCACCTGCCTCTGCCTCCCAAGTGCTGGGACTACAGGTGTGCGAGTAATTTTTAAAAAGGAATCTGCCAGCAGCTTGAATTTAGTGACCTGCTGGGAGTTGTGTGACATGAAGAGGTCCCCAGGAAAGGGACAGGTTACACGATATGCCTCATGGCAGGGTGATTAGATACAGTGGTTACTCAGCATGTTCATGGGGTTTTTGTGTTGTTTGGTTGTTTTCTTTTTTGAGACCAGGCTGGCCTCATACTTAGAGATCCACCTACTTCTGCCTTCTGAGTGCCCACCACACCTGGGTGTGGTCTTTCATCAAGTGATTGGTAGCTCGTCTTTGCAGAGCTCAGAGGTCTTCCGACTCCTGTAGGCACCTTGCCTTAAGCTGGGTCTAGTGCCCGCTGGGCACTTGGTGAGGTTCTGTGCAGTAATGGAGCATATGGCTCTCAGGGTGTTCATCTGCTTGAGGGTACAGTATTGGGACCTTGAATTTTTTAGTTTGTTTTTCAATGGTTGTACTCTAGGCCAAACTGGCCTTGAACTCTTGAGAAGTCCTGTCTGTGCCTTCCAAATGCTGGGATCACAGACATACCCCACTACCCTGGGGAAGAGCCCCTGTGTGCTAAGGACAGGCCAGAAGGAACTTTCCCTAGTGCATTCTGGGTAAGCTGGGTATGTCCAGTGAATGGAATTGTCCCATGGCTTCCTTGTTTGTCGCCACACACCCACTAATCCTGGCTCTAGGTACCTGTTTGGTTTTATTGCTCAGGGTTGGCCTGGGAGAATACTGAACTTGGAAGACCTAGGGTTGGTCTGTAATGGTGCTGGCTTTAGGAATAGTGGAGCCTGCCATCCTGGGGAGGCCCCAATGAGGACAAGTGAAGGCCCCTCGGCCCTTCCTCATCACCCTCCATAGCATCTGACTTCTCTTATGGGCTGTATTGTACTCACAAATCCCAACAGATACCACCATTTTTGGGCCTTGTTGGAGACCATTCTGCAAGGGCCACTTGACTAGCAGCTAGCAGAGGAAAGGACAGCTTTGGGATTCAGAGACCCCTAGGAGTGGAGCTCCAAGGCAAGGGCATTGTTGCTTTGAACCTCAGTTTTCATAACTAAGCAAAGGTAGTATTTTAATATTGCTGTGGGGATTAACTAGTATAACCTAAATGACATGATCTTTAGAGAGTATGGTGCCTGGTAACTTCATGGGTGGTATTAAAACAGCTGACAATGTGCTCAGTCCAGAGAAAGGAACAGGCTGGGCAGAGGGAGTCTGGGGATGCTATGAGGGCATGGGTGCTGACTCAGGGATGTTATGGTCCCCAATGAGGACTGTCCCCATAGTGCTCTGTGTTTGTAGGCAGGGCCTGAGCTCAGGGCGGAGGAGGGAGCTGGAGCACTGTCATTCCTGCTCACTCTGTTCCGAAGACCATTCTACCTCAAGGCATTGCAGCCTGCCATTTCCTCGGGGTGTATCTCTGGGAAATCCATCAAGTTGTCAGGATGTAGTGTCCTCTGCAGAGCAGATGAATGCTTTTGAGTCTTCTGTGCTGTGCAGGTCATGGGGCTGGGGTGGGTAACAGCAGCTACAGGAGCAGCAGGAATATAAACAACTCCCTCTTGGTGGACAGAACTGATGGAAGGGCTGAATGCACTCTCTGGTTTTTACCAAAACTACATTGTGAGTTATTGCTGCTGTGTGGCTGGAGAAATTGAGGCTCTAGTCTCCTGTTAGCAAGCAGCTTGGCTTAGATTTGCTTCTGGTCCATCTTGTTGACCACAGCTGGCCTTTCTGCAGGTGGCCCTTTGATCTCCCTGTCAATGCTCTGTGGGCACCATGATGCCAGCAGAGCCCCCCAAGGAACCAGTGCACAGGCTGTGTGGTCTCTAAACACAATAGACCCTCTGCCCATCTCTTGTCCCTTGCTATCCTTTGGAGTGTGTTCTTCATCAGTAATATTATGTGTGGTGTGCCTGGGCCAGTGCTCAGGGCATGATGGAGTACAAGGGCAGGGCAGGGTGCTTAGGTGTTGGGCTCTGTCCCAGAGCAGTGGGTAGGATGACTACTGTTGCAATCCAGGAGAAAGATGTTGCGGTCTGGAATTAGGATATAGGTGAGAAGCTTGGAAGGGTATTAAGGACCTAGGAACTGTAGGACGCCCCTGGAGGGAGGCTAAGGGGCTGGTGAGGCACGCATATTTAGTGTGTGACTCCTGTTTGCCACCAGGGGAGCTGTAACAGAAAGGGGGCACGCGGTTCTTGCTCTCAGCTTACTTTCCTGAATAGTACCCAGTGCCTGCTCCAGTGCTCTGAAACTTGTGGATTGATGATATAAGAGCTGCAAAGAGATGACACAGAACAGGGTTAGTGCAGATGTTGGAGCCAGATACACAGTGAGCCAAGACAAGGTGTTCTGGTGTGGGTGTGGCGCTGCAAAGGCCCTGGGTGGGAACCCCATCACATGGGCATCCAATCTCGTGGATATAAAAAAGGAATATTCGGTGGGTGGAGGGGTGGTGCTTTGGGGTTTGGACAATGGAGGTGCCCAGGGGGTCTGCCTACTAGAGGGGTGCACTGTGGCTTCTGAAAGCAGTGCCTGGAGGAACACCCCACATTTAGGAGAAAGAAGAGTGAGCTGTGGTAGGCAGCTGAAGGGCAAGTGTCCGTGGGGCTGCTGGATGCCCTCTTTTGCAGACTTGTCTGCAGGCTGTGGGTCTGCTGGGGAACAATAGCTGCTGTTCTCACACCTAATCCCGCCCCACACTCCTTCTAGGACTCACTCTGGCAACAGCCAGGAGCCTCTTCCTCACCCTAGCTCCTGTGCTCCTTGGGAATGTTCTTGCACCCCATCTGTATGCACAGACCAGGGCCAGGTCTGTACCTCAGGAGCAAGGGGATAAAAGAGGCCGTGGAGACTTTTCCACCAAGGGTGAAAGCAGTTTATAGAATGGGCTGTGAGGTTTGGTTCAGGAAATTTCATCATGTCTCTAAGAAGAGGAGGGGAAAGGAGAGGGATAGAGGGAGGGGTGGAGGAGAAAGAGAGTGAGATTGGCTTCAGACTTTCCTTGCCCCTTTTGGTAACACAGGCGGCCCAGGTCAGCCTGAGGTCAGCGACAGTCTGCTCTTTAGTGCTCCTCTGCGAATACCTCATTTCTGTAATAGTTTTTCCTTTAAAAACAGCTCTGCCTTCTTTGGCAGATGGTGACATTCCATTAGCATATGGAATATTTTTCAAAACACATCCCAAAGTGTGTCTCTTATGGAGGAGCCAGAACAAAAGCAAACGCATGCTTGAAAAACATGTTGGAAGTGACTTAGCATGGAAGGCTGCACTCCCCTGCCTGGGCCCCATCATCCCTGGTCCTCACCTGAACTGAGAAGAGGCCAGGCCTACTCCCCAGTGGAGCCTGTCAGCTCTGCTGCAGAACTGGTTGCAG